CGAATTGACAAAATAGGAAATTTCCATCAAGTGGTCCTTCTGTTTTGAATCATTCACTTGTTGCCACGCTGATCATGACCCCAAAATGGGTCTGAGATTTCGGATGTAGTGGTTTTAATTATTGGATCCAGACATTTAGCTGACGATTCTATGCAAATGGGGAGCATTATTTTCAGAATTTAATTATAGAATCTCGCATCAGAATATACGAACGGTACTTTTTGTGTTGATATTTTAAAATTTCTTCCATTCCAAACAGTACCCATGATTTAGTCTAGGACCTTTTTTAATGACAATAATACGCTGATGAATAAATAAATCCGTTAATCTGCTACTCTGCTTCTGAGTTCTTCAATGGGCCTGCTGTCTTATATTCACATATGAAAATCTTTTACAATTGTACTTGTTAAATTAAAGTGCAAATACATATAAATATATGTATATTCCTTTCCCTTTTCTCTGGACTGTTTTAAATGATCTCACCCACCTCCCCTCCCCTCCCCCCCCCCCCCCCCCCCCCCCCCCCCCCATTATTGGACAACTTCGATATGATCGGCATTCATCTCTTTCATTCACATCATGCATGTCTTATACTTTTTTATTTGTGGCAATTTATGCAAAATGTTCTTCAAATTCATACTCTTCTACTGACGATCTAAAATAAATATTTTTGCATTTTGCGAAAATAAGAGGCCATAAAAATCGCCCGTAAATCACGCAAGTCGGGAAAATTTATTTTCCTGACTGAAGTGGCCGCCGTATAGGTCTAGGCTGTCAGAGGTCACGGCTTCGACTCCCATTTGTCCACATCCAGTAAGTGCCACGGGTAATAGAGGGGGCATGGCAGATTCCGTCTCTCACTACTTTTTACAGTACTTGAAATTAAAGGTGCTATCGAAATCTGGAGAAATCGAATGACTATTATCAAAGTTGCCCTAAAATTGTTGCCAACATTTGCAACAAGAGATGTTATGGCGGACGTACTATCGTGCAGATTCACATGTTTCTGTGTTAATCTTCTCTCAACTGCAATTCCTGTTTCGGTGAAGGAAAGCGGTGTTTGGAGTCCTCCACAAATTCTGATAACAATGTTCTTAAGACCACGCATTCCAAAATAAATTGGTACAAGTCAATTCCTTCGAGAGCTGGAATGTGCTCTAACAAGAGAATATTTCATGAAAGAATGTCTTACCGCACCTAAAAATGAAAAGCTTGTAGAATTCACAAAAATACATATTCACTCTACTATATGAGGACTCAAATCGTGTTTGGATTATAAATGTGCTCCTTTTGTCTACAAAGCGTTATCTTTTTCCTAAGAACTGATTGCAACGTAAAAACAACTTGCATGTGTTCGTTTCTTTCGCCTTTTGAGCTTGGCGTGAAACTCGAATTGTGATTCTACAATCTTTTCGCAAACTTCATTTGTTGTTTTTGTAAAAAATAAAGAGTTGGGCGGGAGGAGCAATTGAACTTGGAATATTTTGACCTTTGGGGTGCATTTTTTGTCTCTAATTCCCGTTTTTTGCCATATTATTTGATAAGGATTACTAGGAGTGGGTAATCCTTCTTTGCAACTCCATGTTTTTTGTTTTAAGTGAGTTATTTGTTTGATTATCGCGCTTACGTTGGTATGAGGTGATTTATATTGCATTCTGCTTGAAGTGAACACGTTGTCCAATCGTTATTCTTTTATACTTTTGTACTTGAAGTTGGTAAATAGATTTTAATCATTTTTAAATTTGTTTAATATTTCAAAGTAAGAACTTTCGCTAGCACTTTCAAATCTGTGGGCAAATCAGATTATCACTTAAGTAAATTAAATGTAGTGCTAAAAGGAGTTTACCCTTGTCCATTTAATATTCAAAATACATTGACTTGCTTAGCATAGATTTTGGCACTTTAATTACTACCTTAAACTGATGATACCATTTTAATAAGATGTTATAGAAGCCATAATTAACAATAACTATCCAGTAATCTTTATTTTCAACAATATTTTGTACGATACCTCGTCCTGCAAAATTTTACTGGTCTCCCTTTCCATTTAAATTGTCTTGAACGTTGACCTCGATTTTTGATGTCCGAAATTGTCCCTTTTTAGAGTGGGATTTTTTCGGGTGAGAGTTCAAATAACTTAGCTGTTTCACTCGACAACTTGACCTTACCTTTTAGCTAATGTACTTTTATTTTTGTCACTTTACTTGGGTAGAGAGAGGAGGTATCCCTCCTGGTGACTAGGATTATCCAGGGCGGTTGTTGTTTCTATCGATGGATGTGCACCGATCTTGTCCATTCTTACTTGGCAGGTGTGCACGCTCATCAACTACGCACTTTGTATAATTAACGTGGTTTCCGTTATTGATTACCTAATTGGCTGGTTTGAAATACTGCAAATTTAAACCTATTTAATCCTTCTTTGGTCTAAACGTAATTAGGTCCTTTAATCACTAAATTGCTGCCTGATAACGTGTTAGTATAGTCAATTGGATGTGAATAATAAAATGAGGTTGGATAAAAGCAGATCCATCGTTTAAACGCCCTTATCAGAATATTTACAAGTTATGAGTCCTCCTCTCTTCTATTAAGCGATGTCTCTTTAAGATCTACACTATTGGACATTCGTAAAATTGATTATTGGGTTAGGTAGCTTAATTCCCCCTCGCCCCGATGTACAATGTTGACGGTGGTTTCACTGCCTATTTTTTCTTTAAGTTTGAATTTGCGGCTGGAAAGATCTCGTCATCAAAACTTTCCTGCTAAATTGGTTTGCCCTCATCTATTTAAGGTGTGTGACCCTGAGGTCCAATCCCACTTCTAAATGATCTGATTTTTTTACCAGAAAACTGTTCTTCTAGCACTTTGGTGTATCATAACCTAAAATTGAATAAAAACGCTGTTCAAATCACTAACAAATCTGTCAGATATGTTTTAGTATTTATTTACTTTTTTGTCACTCAACAGTCGATTAATTCATTTGGCGGACAACGAAGATGAGGTTCCACTTGTGCGATCCGCTGCCATCCTACAGCTCGTTTCATTGGCTCGTCAGATTGGAAATGAGTTCAAAACCGAATTGGCTCCTCTTCTCTCCGGGTGAGTTTCGTTTGATTAACTATACCAAATCGTTATACAATCATACCTCATGAAAAAACTGGAGATCTGGAGTGTCTAGGTAGTAGTTTTATTTTTAATACCGTTTAAAATAGCTTATTCTGGACTAATCGAACTCAGGTGATTTTAATCGCAACCCCCGTTGGACTAGATATTCTTTTGTTTTGCTTTATTTTTTAACCCTAGTGAAATAATAAATAAATTGCGATCAGTTTTGCATATTATGTCAATCTTAAGTATTATATGTATATGGTACTTTGAATCCATTTACTATTCATTTATCGCTTTTAGATTACTCTCTTTCTCCTAGTCCATGAATTGACGCAATAAATTCGAAATATGTACACTATTGTCAAAGCTATCTGCTCCTAATTTGTTGCTTCTTTCTTACACAGTCTGGTAGGTGATAGTCAACGCATCGTTCGATCTGCTTGTGTCACCCCTCTTCTCGAATTAGGCAAGATGTTGAACAACAACGAAACCGCAGAATACGAAACAACCATCCAAGCTTCACTGGACAAACTCAATGAAGATGGTTCTCGGTAAGTGATCCATTTTTTAACCAATCAGATCAGTCTTTTGCTGCTAGTGAGCCAATCAAATCAAACTCGTAATTCCTTTAAACAATCAATATCTCCTTTCAGGGATACTCGACGAGCATTGGCCGGGACTATGGCGGAGTTGCAAAAGATTGCTGTAGCTAAGGGTGGAAACGCAAAGTCCCTTCACTTGATGATGATGAACTTATTGGAAGATAATGAGGTGGAAACACGTCGAATTGCTGCCAGTCAATTCCAAGGTACATGTCACAATTACTACTTGCTGATTAATTTCCTATTCTCATAGTTTTTCGTTTCTGTCCTTGCCAAATTCGCCTCATGCGAAATCATTTGAATTCGAAGAATAACACTAGTATTAATAGCAATAGAGTAAACTATAGGGTAAGAAGCGACTGAGTGGTCAATATGTAGCCTCTTATTAAGAATCATTTCGATTTTGAAAATTTCATTTTCCAGATCCCAGATTCATATGCAGGATTATTCCCCCGAGGTTTAAAATTTTGTGGCCAGTTGATTTTGTTTCGTGACTGCTCGTGCCACCGCAACTCGGTGGTAGCCCATAAAGTGAAGTCCACGATTTACTTATATTAAAATTCGTTTAGGCCCTATAAGTACCAGGGCCAAGAGAGTAACTTCTTTACTGACAATTGTTAAATAGTTAATGTCATTATGGGAAATTAGGCCGAAAGACTAAACAATTGGAAAGGAACAATTATTATGGTGGGGGAGTCGCGATGAAATAGGGGCTCAGGAATGTACCTACTCGTCAAGACATACTTCTGACGTTAGGTATGTTAGAAACTTTCTCTTGCTTTCTTCAGAAGGGTAAATATTAATTACCCCACGTAGTTTTCTTTTTCCTTACATTTGTTTAAAATTCTTTAAAGTATTGTGTGAGTATAGCATTAGTTTACCTTAATCAAGCGTTTAGTTGAGACACATCAGTTATTTTCTATACGGTGAAGGTGGAAATTCCAACAGCATTAGCGCTAACCAGTTGTATTCAACTTAACTATTTATTTCAAACATTATATAAGAAAAAAAATTTACTCAGTGAGTAAAACAGCGCCAATGTTCTTAGGCGACGGATCTTAATTTCACATTATTGTGCCCGATCAATAACTTGAACGAGGTTCTCGGACGCTCCATTTAAATAGGGAATTCCTCAGGGTCAATTACCATAGGGAAGATATCGAGCTGATTAGTGATATCTGTGCGCCTATTCATCATGCTAGTTTCAAAGAAGTGAGCCAACAAGGCACCCGACATCTTGTTGCATTGTTTAATTTATTTTTTGACTTGTTTATTTTATCACATATCTCAAAGTACGTTTTGCCTTTCGAGCGCTAATTTGCTATTCATCTACTTTGCCATTCATGTGGTTATTGCCAAAGCTAGTTTCAAAACACGCGCGAGAAAAAGATGAAGGTGTTTGTCTCATTAATTGTTAATACGGAGGCACTAAAAGCCAATCTCATTTCAAAAGGTATGTGCGATGAGATCAAAACCATGCCGTTCATAAGCTTGCGGGCACTTACACTATTGTTCTCATAATGAAATGCGTGGCATTTTTTGTATCCATCTGGTTTATTTTTCAATTACTTTAATTGGACAGTGTTTTGTTTTCTCTTGTGATTATCTTTAATATCGTGATCTTGATTATAACATGGCCTGGATTGGAGAACGCTTTTAACTCTCCCTTACGTGGATGCGTTCTCTTACAATTAGGCAATATCCTGATTTGTATGTTTAAATAATTTAATTGTAGAATTCTGCTTGGCCTCACCGGTGGATGTTCAACGAGATTTTCTCCTTCCACGTCTTCAAGAGCACCTGAACATGGAACGAGAAGAGCGTGTTCGTTGCGAGTTGGTTGCAGCCGCAGTAGGACTCTTGCCGGCACTTTCTACTGCCAACGCTGTCGCTTCGTCTGAAGACACCTCGACAGGCCAAATGACTCCCCTACTAGCTCTTGTTCGGCCTATCCTCGCCTTTCTTAATAACAACTCTGACCAGGTTTGCTCTTAGACAACTTTACTTTCTGTGCCCTTTCTTTCAAAATTTGATAGGCTGATAGGCTTAAACCGAATTGATTCCATTTACTTGCAGTTGTATCTCCCCTCTGCGTTTTTTTTGTCGAATTTGCCTTGTCTCAAATTTAAGTAATAATGTTCTATTTTGTCTTTTAGCCGAAGCAGTACGTGTTTGAATATTTCGCTCAATTAATGTCCTTTATCCCCGCTAGTGAGATTCAATTGACCATCTTGCCAAGTCTGGTGAACCTCTGGCAAGGCAAAAATTGGCGTGTGCGTCTAGGTGTTGTCCAATCGCTTCCCTGTCTATTCGCAACATTGGTAGGCTTTTTAATTGCACTAATTACTTATAGTATTTTAAATTATATATCGAAAATGTTTGGTTTGATACCCGATTTTGAACGAATGGCGTTCTTTTCTCACCCGAATTCATGAAGATGTTTGAAACCTGTCCCTCTGTTTGTGTTTCCGATTCAGTGATTGTGTCTGTGTTGCAGTCTAAATTGTAATGTTTAATTTAGTTGAAACAGCTTGGTCTAGATAGTCTATGGGAATGTAGTTTCAGTGCATCACCATCTAAATTGTCGGCATGATGAACTCAAGATCCGCACGCATTGGATTTACTGGCATTAACCGCCTTGTAGACATTTCGTGACTAAAAATGTGTATTTTACACCGCTCATTTTCATATCACATTTGTGGCTGTATCTTAACCCCAAGTCATCTCTATGATTGGTAGCAGACGTATTCGAGCTTCAGTCCATTTATCGCACTCTACAAACGTTTATTTCAGTAATTGGTTTTTATTATGGCTTTTGTAGCCCGAGAGCTGCCTGCGTGAAACCATACTCCCATCAACTTTAGCCTGGTTAATAGACCCAACGTGGGCAGTTCGAGACTGCGCATGTCGCTCCCTGGCTCGTCTTCTCCTTGTCTGCCCGGCTGCTGCAACTGATGCTATAATGGGCACTGCTGCCAATTCATCAGGAAGCAATGACAAAGACACAGCCAACGCTGCAGCAAGTGCTACCAACACATCTGCATCGACAACTGCATCCACCGCGAGTGTGGAAAAAGCATCCCTATCATCAGGTGGACCAGAAGCTGCTGCTGGAGCTGGGGGAGACACCGGGGCTCCGCTATCGATTGCTGCTATGGCCGCGAATGCCTCGGCTAGAGGGTTGAGAGCTCTGGCAACAGAGCAGAATTATCACCTGCGGCAGATTTTCATTCTTGCTGTTCAAGTAAGATTTCCACCCGTCTACTTCCAAGTATTCAGTAGTATTGTATAGAAATAAGCCAATGGGCTAGGAATAGTAATAACTACCGCTTACTACAGAGCAACGGGTAGAACCAATCTGCAATCTTCTAACAAAGAAACGAATTGCTTCTAAACTAGTTCCACAAATCAATTGGCTACGATCCGGCTAACTAGAAAGACGCTTCTTCCTTTGAAATTTGAAGAGTTTTGTGACTGATTTTATTCTTGAATTTCTTAAGTTATCTAATGGTCAATGCTATCTAATGCGTGTAGAATATGATTCTGTTTAAAAATGGCTTTAAAATATTCTTTTCATTATTTTTTTAATTTAATAGTAAATTTGTTATTTCACATAAGTAAGCAAAAACCTAATACTTAATTATAAGGGCAATATCAATCTAGACTAAATGAATTTGTTTGCATGTTCTCTAATGCAATCCTATGGTAATTTTAGGTTGATGCCCAACTGTTCTCCCCAATCTGGGAGTTTTGTTGCAAATTCCAACACATCCGTTATCTATCGCAGATATTTATTTATCTCAAATGGCAGGCGTTTTGATAGTTATCATTAGAGAGGAAGAGGAACATCCGAGAGGAGGGACAGAATAATGATTAACAGATGTGAAAGAGTCAGGCAGGCACAAAGGCAAAGAAAAGGTAAGACGAGTACTGTGGGAGGGGTCGAATGTGACATACAGTGGGATGATGGTAGTTTGAAGTGAGAAGTCAACTGCCAGTTAATAGACTTGTTTGCCGTATGAGTATACGTTGCTCAGGGTGCACCACGTGGAGGCAAGTCTTTCGCGTACCCCTCTATCGCAGATATAATTGCTGTTGATTAACATGACAAAAAGCCACGCGATAAAATCGCCAGTTGGTTCTATTGAGAAATACTACCATTTAATTCAATTATACTTGCCTCTATATTGGTGCTGTAAATTCATTTGCCATTAGAGCCAAATGAAGTGAAATTTTCAATCTCAGCATGTGGTATTGTGGGTCAAGTGCACATTTACTTCGATCCCTTTGACGAATCGTAAAATTTGAATTTTGAGACCTCTAGTAAATGATTTACAACTCGAGGGAAGTAGAATTCCTTAATATCCCTATACTTTCTTGATCCCCTCTCTACCGATTGTTGTTTCCATAGAAAAAGTGGTAATACTAATGTCATTTAAGTCGATATATGGAGTTTTGGTATCCTAATACCTTGTGATTGTTCAGTAGTCATTGTGCAATCATTGTTGTAATTTTGCCTTTTTCAGGCCCTATGGGGACCGGGTATTCCAGTAGAGCCCTCTTACAGCGCCCTCGGTGATCCCTCGCCTTCTGCGGGCCTGATATCACCCGCCGATCTCTACGATTACGTTCTCAACTCTGCTCGCGATCAGCAGCATGTGGGGAAAAAGGGAAGCAGCAGCGGGAAAAAGTCCTCAGGTGCCACCCCTACTTTGCCAGAGGGTTGTGACCCCTCCCCGGGACAGCGTCTCCCCTCAACAGCCATCACCACTTGTCTACCACTTCTGCTTCAACTCCTCACTGACGACCCGGTGGCCAACGTCCGCTTCGCTGCTGCTCGCACTCTCGTTATCATTTCGGGCGCTATTGATAGCAAGTGCGTTGAAGGCAATTTAGCATAACAGCGAATCTAAGATGATTGGTATTGTACACTTTGGACTCTTTAAACTAGTTCTACTAACAAACCACAAGTCTTGGAGTATGGTAAGGGTTAAGACACCCTCATCTATTTGGGTTACCAAAACATATATGAGTATTGGGTTAGATTTAGAACTGTGGAGTACATGGTATGTGATGTTTGGGGACTATAAATATGGTGTTCAGTAGGTAGTCATTATTCTCGTGAGTAATTACTAGGTTAAAATTTTCCACACTTCACAGTCGTGTTTTCATTTCGACTAATTGCGCCTAACTTGCAGGGTAGTGGCATTTACTTTGTGACTTGAAACTGCCACAATTACCCCTATTCGTTTTCGGATATTTGTCAAGTGTTGTATTAACAGACCCTATGGAACATTGATAATCACGTGACAGTGAATAAGGCGCGTCTTGAATAAAAGCTGAATCTAGTTGAGATAGGAGCTTTTAGTGGCAAATTATGAATGCAAGCCTACCCATCTGATTCGGTATCCAGCCCTAAAGACAACGACGGGAACCCAGAGATAATGGAAAGCAAGAAAACAGCTAATTAACTGCTATATATGTACCCTCCCCCCCCCCCCCACCCATTGGGCTAGTGATAAATATCATAAAGCCTGCCATTTGAAATAATAATAATGAATACAAGCCACTCTCTAATGCATCCAGTGTCAGCAACCACGCAGTTCTCTACTCTCATTTCCTACTCCTTCTTTTATGTTCCCTTCCCATTTCTCGCTGCTAGGTCTATATTGTCTGTTTCTTGTATTTTTTCAGAAGCGTGCAGAAACAGGTGATTCCAGCACTGAAAAAGGTACTAGAAGATGAAAAGGACGCAGATGTTCGCTTCTTTGCCCAAGATGCTCTTAGACGTAAGTTCTCAACTGCTTTACATCTCAAGGCCCATTCAGTTCTTTAGAGATTTTAATTATATATATATATATATATATTCGTAATTAACCTTTGAATTTAATAAGAATGCTTTGCTTTTTCATTTTTAGTATACGAAGGCCTTTGAGAAAATTAACAATGAACTCGGACTGATTGAATTAACTTCTGCTAATATTCATGAAACCACTCCTCAACACCCCCCTCCCTCTCTTGGTTTGTTTTTGCGCTGTTCTTCCCTGCTCTATACTCGGCTTCATTTGAGCTGATAACTTTTCAATCAATGTCTTTACTTCCCTGCCTCTATTCCTTCAATCACAGCGTCGTCGTTTTCTCATTGCCCTCCTTCACCCCGTCTCTGACTTTACTACTGAAATAAAACAAGCACCACACCCTACTCTCTACTCTTTTAGACCTTAATTTTGTCCTCTCTGCAGTTTTGGCCTTTGTGTATTTGCGCAAGACTCGTTAAGGTGCTTTCGGATCTTAATTTTTTTCTTTTTCTATGTTGCTTTAGCGCACTTAGTGGGAGTTGAGATAACATATCTCACCTAGAGCCAACCGTGTAATCAAGGCTAATCAAAATATGGGGATGGGGAGGTAAATGATTCTGATATCACTATCAAACGTGTATGGCAACTAAGTTTACATGAAACTTCTACTCTGGATACAACTATCTACGGTTTAAAGAGCTTAGGCAGTTACGATGTGAAGCGGTATCAATGGGGTATTGGAAGGTGTGAGCACTTTTTACAAAGGATGAGTAAAGTAGCTAAGATGAAACAACGAACAGGCAAAGCATGGGATAGACTATGAGATCTTATTAGCAAATTTAATCACTTAATCATCATTTAAGTCGTAGTTTAGAATGTCTTATGGTCTATTTGTACTATTTAAAGGGTGGGAAAGACGTAAAAGGTAAAATTTCCCAGTTTACCTTTTAAATGGAAGTGGCTTTAAAAATGGTGGGGACAACTCTGTCAGTACATATTATGGAAACACTTTTGCCTGAGATATATTTAAATAAGTAGAGGTGTTCTAAAAATATTAAAACTGGATTACGAAGGCAAATTACGCATTTACGTTAAAAAGTTAGACTAGCTTGCAACAGATCATAATAACCATCCAAAGTAGACTTTGTTATTGCTTTTGTGAAATTTATATGCCTTTTGGAGTGTGGGTAATTCTAATTAAAATTAGAAGAAATTAATATTTTACTATTACCTTTAGGTTGACATCTAATATGTAAATAGAAAAGGAGAGACTCGTAAGTATAAGCTGTATAAAGGAAAAATTGACTCGACGTGTGAGATCGAACTTCAAGTAGGCCAACATTTAACGAGCTTTTGCGCCTGCGTAGATTGCATTAGTTTTATTCAATTGTGTAAAAGTATAGGAAACCAAACCAAAATTAAACTGATTGATATATTTATACAACTAGAGCTTTCCAATGGTCAGAAACCATTTAATTTACATATACCTAATTCAAAAGAAATATAAAGAATAGAATAAAATTGAATTTATCAAAAAGATCTTGATTTTTTTAACTTTTTTTCCGTATAACGCACTCATAGCAATTGTTTTATAGTATGTTTTATGTGCCGCGGGTTTCCTACTAATTCATGCCCACTTTTGTCGTTTCCCCTAGCCGAGTCTCTCTGGTCATCGTCAGTCTACTTGTATAAAAATGGGTAATAGTGGTATTTTCTCTTTGTTTATTATTTTGCAGCATTCTCATCTGAAACATGGAAGAAGATTTTACTTTTTGGCAGTCCAGCATTGATTTCAGCCCTAGCAGGTGTCTACTATTATTATAGCCATGCTTCACTGAAATCGAAAGGTTAGTGTGCCTATTATTTATTTACCAAATGATATATTGCATATTTAGCCGAAGCACCAACAAAGGAAGAGCCGACCGAGGAATCTCCTCTACTTTCAGCTATTAATCAGAAAAATAGAGGAAATAAATTTTTCAAATTGGGTCGCTATGATAAGGCTATTGAATGTTATACTCTTGCCCTTGAACAATGTCCTCTTGATTCTATCACTGATCGGGCCACGTTCTACCAAAATCGAGCTGCTGCTCGAGAGAACTTGGGAGAATTTGAAAATGCCATCGCAGATTGCAACTCATCTCTCGATTTAAATCCTACATACATTAAGGCTCTCAATAGGCGGTCACGTCTTCTAGAAAGGACTGGAAATTTGCAAGGAAGTTTACTAGATATCACTGCTTGCTGTCTCCTCGAAAAGTTCAAGAACGAAGTAAATACAGTTTAATTTTTCTAATAATCATATCTCATCACGTTTTTTTAAATCGGTCTTTATATCATTTGGTTGTCTGTTCTTACCGATTACTGTAATTAGTCCTGTTTTGTTTCCTAACTATTTTTGGTTCCGTTGACTCGCGCTAATGTATTACATCATCACACGAAATCTGCCATTTTTTTCTGTGTGAGAATTCCTTTTCTTTATTTTCTTTTGTGTTAATGATTGAAACGCTTTTGATTGTTTGCGTCATGTCTGGCTTGTTTATTTCGTCTGACTATGGAACATGATCACGGTTTATTTAAGATTCGTTCTTCTAGAAATACCAATGTAGATGCAGCTTAAATTAATGGTTTATCAAATCATTATCCGTTGATTATCAGGTTGTAGATAAGCTTCCTATTTTTAAATACTGCAATTGCTTGGTAATTAATGAATCTGGTGCCATTGGTTTGCTACTCTAAATAATTACTAAATATCCGATTACAATCATCTTAGATCACCATTTGTGGGCGAAATTGATCAACGAATTGGATTGTGTAAGTAAGTCTCTTATATTAGAGGTTAAAATACTTCGCTCTTTGCTTTTGATTGCAATTAGTATTTAGAATGTTAGGTGGATACGTTACATGTATTCTCGTTTCCAATGGCTTCATTTAACGTTTTGTTGTAATATCGCTTCTTTTTGTCATAAAACATAGAATGTTGAGAATTCGTTAATAGTTCTTAAACCCTAGCCTTATTTGCTACTTAATCTTTGCAATTGTAGGCTAATCTTGTTCCTCTGGACTTAATTATTATGGAGATTATGACCTCCAGTACTTGTAATTTGGAAACTAATTAATTTTGTGCCTTTTATATAAGGATTTAGTATCTCGGTATTTGTAATTATTTTATTTCATTTGCTTTTAGTTCAAATTGACTTTTTGCTGAAGTGTTCTGTATTTGAACCAATATGTGTGGTTCCAGGCTTAAAGGCAATCAATTCCCAACTCAGAAACTTTTGGTTTTCTGTAAATTTAATTGATCTTGGTGTCTGGTTGGGCAATAAGCTGCATTTTTTTAAAGCCAAGTAGGTAATCACCTATTACTCAAATGCATCCTACTTTTATTCATATTGCGCTTACGTGTTTGCGTGCAGCATATTGATTTTTGTACTATTAGTATTAGAGGTCATAGTTGCTTTTACTTTGTATATCCACTTATTTCATTTAAATGGCTTCTCTATATGATTCTTTCTACCGCTCTTCTTGGGCGCTTCCTACATCTTGAAATAACAATTACCCCATATTATTATTTTGTTTTGCAGGAGGTCATTTTTCTTGTAACCTCTGACCGCACATCATCATGTCGATTGTATTTTAGTTCATTTAACCTTTAAGCTTTTCAAGTATTAATGAAGCTGCTACTGTGAGAAAGTGTCTGGAGTTCGTTTGGCTTTAATGCTTCTTTGTTGTGAAACCCTTCATATCTTTTTTTCGACATTAATTCTCTTTTCCTTATCTAGCATCCTTTTACATTTTATCCCTAATTCATCCACTTTCTGAACATAAACCTAACTACATCTGTTTTTTTGCCAGGACGCTGTCCAAACAATGGACCGTGTGCTGAAGGAGGTTGCTAAGGAGTGTCAGAAGTCTGAGCCAACAAAGAGTCTCCACCTGCCTTCCCCCGATTTTATTAAATTCTACCTCGGTGCTTGGACTACCGACGTTTTCTCCTGTGAAGCCATGAAAATCCCTGGCAAGAAACCAGTGGTTGATTCTGAAGAGGAAAAGAACGAGGTTGCAAAGGCAGAGGAGAAGACTCCCGTTAAAGTTACCGAGAAAGGTGACGAAGGACAAGAGGAAAAACAAGAACAAGAAAATTCGATAGAAAGGCACGAAACCGCCTCCGAGCAGGATGGAGAACAGAAAGAAGATGCAACCGTTCTCAAAGAAAGTTCAGAGGAAACAAAAGAGACAAAGATTGGTGAGGAGAATGGAATTGCTGTGGAACATGCTTCCGAGGGGCCGCAGAAAGAAGAAAAAGAAGCGGAAAAACCAAACGAGAAGGAAGTTAAACTACCCTCCCGATTGACCAAGGCCTATGCAGAGCTAGAAGGTGCTTTTGAACTGATGAAATCCTGTAAATACGACGAGGCTTGGAAGTTGGTTTCTTCTTCTGTCAAGAATTTCAATGCAGTAAGTGATGGTTAATGTGTGGACTTTTAGAGTGCACTTGGTTGCTTTTATTGCTTTTGCAATTCTTTTATTAATTTTATTAGACTTTCTTTGCCATGCCTAAACAAACTACCGAATAGAAATAAAATTAAGGATCTGCACTTAGTTCATTGCTTGCAGTAGCTAATGTTATTACGAGAAATTATCCTAATTTATGCCGAGGTTTGCAGAATGCTGTTTGTTTCCTTTTCTGAGCGCTAATTAAGTGGATTTCTTAAGAGGGAATTTCCCCGTCTCTCTTCTGAAAATTTTTATCGCAAACGCTATTCGTCTCTTCAAACCCTTATGTCCGTGTCTATTTTAAACTACTTTTTCGTGTCACAGAAATATTTTTAAAGTACATTTTTCGTTCATCAATAGTATTTCGTCTGTTATGTTTGGTTGTAAATTCGTTGTGATGGCTGCTTCTTGAACATTTTATCAGGTCAGCATGTCACCAATCGATTTCAAGGTGCTGTGTGTGTACAGTTCATTACATTGCGCAATAGGAGGTCAGCTTGCATCACCATCTCGTATGTTGCCTAAATATTGCCAAGTTCGTAGGTCTGTTTCACACCATCCCACCGGTTCCCATCTTAATGTATTTGCTCTCAACTTGAGACCAGGTCTTTCTCCTTGTAAAGGAAATGAAACCCTGGATGGACTTGACGATTATATAGAATCGCACTATTTTCGACTTCAGTGGACTTTTTCTCTTCACCTTTTGTTGTGAGGGGACCCCATGGTGATCCTATTTGTGATGATTTCACGTCATCAATTGTTTACCATTCGTATCAACCAAAACGATTGGAATTGGTATTATTGACCGAGGTGTCGTTTGGCCTTGGTGTGTAGTTATCGATTCACCACATTGCATCCTCTAGAAGGTTTGTCGACGCGTTATAAATGCTCGTCAGATAATCTGTTTGCGTCCACGCCTATATTCGCACTGACTACACGTTTTCTACATGCTCATGCATGTTTTCGGTTTCTCATTTTTGGTAATATTTGGCAGTTGCCGCTTTTTGTGCTGCCTTTAAGCGTTACACCGTCTATTTCGCCGCACTTCGCATAATCCTATTCACATTTCTTCTCCCCAGTATAGATATTGGGCGCTACTTTTCAAACAAATCAAATAACTTGCGCTTCGAGAAATTGAGTGGTTGGTTGTACCATCTTGGTGCAGCTGTGTTTTCTTTGTCAAAGTTATTTGATAGAGTGGCAAATATCCTAATTTACGAGATCTCGCTAGAGAGTTGCCAAAGATATGCTATTATGTGGTTTAACAAAGTGAATGGAAAATTTATTTACATCAAATGGCAGGCGTCTTGATGGTTATCA